GTGTGGGTTCAGTTCTGTTTAGTAACGTGACACGCTTTCAGTCCTATGTGTGGGTTCAGTTCTGTTTAGTAACGTGACACGCTTTCAGTCCTATGTGTGGGTTCAGTTCTGTTTAGTAACGTGACACGCTTTCAGTCCTATGTGTGGGTTCAGTTCTGTTTAGTAACGTGACACGCTTTCAGTCCTATGTGTGGTTCAGTTCTGTTTAGTAACGTCTCATGCTTTCAGTCCTATGTGGGTTCAGTTCTGTTTAGTAACGTCTCATGCTTTCAGTTCTCTACGATATTCAATTCTGATAAATCAATGAGTTCGTGTATAGTTTTAGTTTGTGTGTGTGTAGGTATGATTATACAGATTTTGTTCATGTATATTTGTATCTATAGATATATATACACATCTTTAATATGTGTATATAATGTGCTCTATGTATTATACACTCTAAATTGTTCTTGATCTTTCTTTTCTTTCTTTAAATGAACGGAAGCTCAGAAGGGGGGGTGACTTTAGGTTCATAACTTTCCTAACCCTCGTGTCCTCTTCAAACCTCTTAATTGAAAGGCTCATTTTTTCCTTCTGTCCTGTGGGCCTTTTGTTAACAAGACGGTTCCACTTCAAGGCCAATAACAACTTTCCAAAAAGGATCGAACACCCTCTACAAAAGTATCGAGATTCCGGAAAATATTCTTTGGAAAAAAAAAAGCATATCATAAAAATACCTTAAATCTTTCAGAAAACAATGACAGTAATTACGTTAGGAGAGACTTTAACGTTCGCTTTCTTATACTTTTTTTTTTTTTTTTGTTAGTTTAATGAGAAAGTGTACGGTTCTCTCCTTAATTTAATCATTTGTAGTTTTCGAAACAAGCGGCTTTCAAGGAATTCTGCCAAAGGATCGATTCACTCCCTAATTAGGCTTAACGAGTTATGTTTTAACGTACTGTACGTTAATACCCTTGGTCTTACAAAATAAGTCCGTAAGGCATAGCGCTTGGGGCAGGCATGTTTTAATAATATATCTGTTTTATTTTAATGAAATTAATATCTAGGATTAGAAAAATTCAACACAGGGTTTTTTTGTTTTGTTTTGACGCGCTCCATTACATACATATACGCTCATATTACGAAAACCTCCAGATCTTCGTATTATATATATCTTTGATAACAGAAAATAAATTCTCCCACCATCAGATATGCCACACGAGGCGTTGTTGAAGTAATAATGCTGCCAGTTTTTAACAAAATGTAATTACCTTGGGACATGTGGATAGTATAACTAGCACTAATCATTTTACTTTTCTTCTAATAAAACACGTCAATCTACTTAAGCCTAAAAAGCCTTCACATGTGGAAAAAATATATAGCTTTGTCGTGTTAGTTATCATTAACTTCAACTCGGGACTGTACGGATAATTTACATTCATCAACTAATAAACACCACTATTACTTCGTTTTGTATTCTACGTGTAAGATATTACATTAACGTTTTTGTCATTGCTTACAGACGTCTTTTTTATCTACAACTACTGTTAAAAACATGAAGAGAGAGGGAGCATTTTTGCAGAGGATCGCACTGCAAAGAAGCTGTCATGGTGTGATGTTTTGTTTATCTGAGCACACACACATGGATCCGTGTGTCAGACATAAAAGTTTCCGTTTACAGTCGTTCTGAATGCGAGACGTAGTTAAAAAGAACTGAACAACAGAGAACTGAAAACATGCGTAAGACTTAACAAAAATGAAGAACATACTGAAATGTGAGACGTAACTACAGAGAACTGTTCAGCACAGAAGACTGAAAGAACAAGGCGTAACTAAACAGAACTGTACAACATTGAAGACTGAAAGTGAGACGTAACTGAACAAAGATGAATAACACAGAAGATTGAGAGAACAAAACGTAAGTACACAGAACTGCACGACACGGAAGACTGAAAGAACGAGACGTAAGTAAATAGAACTGTACAACACAGAAGTCTGAAAGAACGGGACGTAACTACACAGAACTGTACAATACAGAAGACTGGAAGTACAAGACAATTAAAAAGAACCGTACAAAGAAGACTGAAAGAGCAAGACGTAAGTAGATAGAACCGTACAACACAGAAAATTGAAAGAACAAGACGTTAAGTCAACAGAACTGTAAAACAAGACGTAACTAAACAGAACTGTATAACACAAATTACACTACAGTTAATTTGGATAGTCAGATATTCAGGAATTAGGCAAGTTCAAACTCTTTATGGCATCACACAAATATCGATAAAACAGCATGTTAAAACATTCAATTGCATTATAACTAAAAACTTAGTTACCATTTATTTGTACAGTAGTATTATAAGTACAAACCTCAAACATTACATCTCTCTATATATAAAGCACAAAAATCTGTGTATCCGTTTTTCCATTATCTAACAACTCCTAGGTAGCTGGGCCAATCTCAATCAAACTTTGTGGGATGATAGTTTGGAACAAGGGGCATGTTAATGGGGGAGGGGATTAACACCTCCTCCATCTCCATTATTGCTGCCATTAAGCATTTATTATCTTTGACGTAAGTTAACGTTAACTACATTTATAGATAGCGCCATGTTCCTATACACAAAAAATATTACATTTAGTATAACACAACATACGCAAAGTTTGCGGGAAGTAGATACAAACGTTTTATATATCTCATAGAGTGCGCTAGCACTCTCTAAGGGGGAATGCAATGAAAAAATAATTGGCCGCCACTATTACAATAATACATAAACTCAGCTGAAGCTTCTACTCCCAACAGCCACCATAAGGCTGATATGAACAGCTGTTTCTTGAATTATTTCTACTTTTGCCCGTGACGTTTCAACTTTGGCTTGTAAGACACTTCAGTGGCCAATAACCATCAATTAATTAATCACGTGAAACACTGTGGAAGAACATTAAGAGCTGGGTGTTAAAAGCGAGTAACAGAAAGCACCACTACTTTGGCCGCTACCTCTTAATACAAAGTCACCCTGACCATCGCATAGTGTATACCATGTTTTAAGTATAAACATATTGAGTTCTTAAGCCTCATACAAATATTTTGGTGAATTAATAATGAATACTGTAATAATGTTATGTTATAAATAAACTGCGTTAATGTTAGGTTTGTTTGTTTTGAATTTCGCGCAAAGCTACACGCTAGCCGTCCCTAATTTAGCAGTGTAAGACTAGAGGGAAGGCAGCTAGTCATCACCACCCACCGCCAACTCTTGGGCTACTCTTTTACCAACTAATAGTGGGATTGACCGTCACATTATAACGCCCCCACGGCTGAAAGGGCGAGCATATTTGTGTGACGGGGAATCGAACCCGCGACCCGCAGATTGCGAGTCGAACGCCCTAACCACCTGGCCATGCCGGGCCTTAATGTTAGGTTTTTTGTTATTTATTTTATCATCCACTCCCACATTTTTTAAGTTCATAACTCAGACAAAGGACAGGTACCTCAGCTTGTATTATACATTACAAGTAAAAAAATAGTTACAATTCATTGACTTAAAGGTTTATCAAAAGCTAAATATTGAAAAAATTAATCCATTTTTCTTCCTCAACAGATTCATGAAAAATATATTAATTATTTTGAAGTATTTTTTAACTAAACAAATCTTGATGAATAAAAATGACCTCCAGAGAGTTAAAATACAGTGTCTGAAAGCTCAAAATGAGGAAATAAATTTGAACTATCTTAAAGTCATTGTCTTGGACACAACTTTTGCTTTCCAAACATCTTCCTATGCGTTTTTGTCCCCTCAAAACATTCTTTTTTTTTATACATTGAAAATTTCATGTGTTAGAAAAGAGATCCATATTTATTAATTTACCATTTGTCGATAAATAAATTAACAAAACACGAGTTTAATCACAATGCGATTCTAACACGTTTAACCTAAAATTCACTTTGCAACTTATACTAAAACCATAAACGTCAGCATACACTAGAATCTAGAACCTCGTTAAAACATACTTTTACAGCCAAGATAATTACATTTTACACAAACGCGTAGGAACATACACAACAATTAGTCCAACAACATCTTACGTCGGAATGTTTTAGTTCGATTGGTTCGTTTGAATGGTGGTAAAAATTTGTTGAAGATTTTAAATGTTGAAATTGCTAAGCAAAACATAATAAAACTAACTAAACATTTAATCTCACGATGTGGTATACTTTTATAGATGCTACTTAGTATTATGCGAGAAGAAAAGATATAACGAAATGAATAACAACTTCTCAGGAAGGCTTTAAAGTAAAAAAAGGAAAACTAATCCTAATCGTGAGTTAAAAATTCAACACAAAGCATGTCTTACCTATTTCAACCTTATAACAAAAATAATCCTAATCATGAGTTGAAAATTCAACACAAAGCATCTCTTACCTATTCCAACCTGAAAACAAAAACTAATCCTAATCATAAGTTAAAAATTCAACACAAAGCATGTCTTACCTATTCCAACCTTATAACAAAAAATAATCCTAATCATGAGTTGAAAATTTAACACAAAGCATCTCTTACATATTCCAACCTGAAAACAAAAACTAATCCTAATCATGAGTTAAAAATTCAACACAAAGCATCTCTTACCTATTCTAACCTGAAAACAAAAAATAATCCCAATCGTAAGTTTAAAAATTCAACACAAAGCATTTCTTACCTATTTCAACCTTATAACAAAAAATAATCCTAATCATGAGTTAAAAATTCAACACAAAGCATTTCTTACCTATTCCAACCTTCAACACAACACTGTTAGCCATTCCGATTGTAGAAAAAGACGTTAGAGCTTTAAAATGACTTCTTGCCCAGTTCAAAATTTTCCTTAAAGAGGACGTGGGCTTCTGTCGAACTATCAGTCGCAAGGGAGCGCTGGAGACGACCTGGGATTCTTGGGTGACCTGCAATATTAAGTTAACTATCAACTAACGAAATATCTTCCTAAGAGTTAAAATACAAATATATTGTGCTTGGACGATATACATAGACACCTATAATCTATTACACAAACATACATAATCTAGTTAGGTAATTTAACCCTCGTAGTATAAACCACAGTGGTTTTTCCAACATTTTTCTAAATTATTTATGTATCAGATGCTTGTGGATGCATTAACTTGTTGGTTACAGGGTACCTAATACCATACGAATTTACTGGTTACAGGGTACCTAATACCATACGAGTCACAAAAACATCATTAATATTGCAATTAATTACTGCTGAAGTCCCCTATGTACTTTTAACAAAAATGGTTAATCGTAGTTAATTTGTTTGGTCAGTTCCTGAAAATGGATGTTATTACAAGTAAAAAAATGAAATTGGTCAATTCTAGCAAAGGCCCCGAAAAACATTTACTGTCAAATTAGTATCTTTATTGCAACAGTACTTCTTTAAATACAGGAATTCTGGAATAACACAAAGAATTATAATCACAGACACCGAAATCTATAAATCCACTTGTCTTAGGCCTAACATTAATTAAGTGTTTATTCAGCACGGCCTGTACTCGATAAAGAGATAAATTAACACTGTAACTTGTGTTAATTTTTGGCTTTAGTTTAATTAGGGATAAACTTTACCGTACTTAATACTATCAATAAATAAACTTATATTATAATGTTATTCTACTGCCTGACGTTAGACCTTTTAAAAAAATTGATAAACTTTTAACACCTTGTCGTACAAAATGTCTACTAAAGTATATTTAATTTCGCCTTCTGTTCACATCCGTTTAAATGAAGTGCGCGATCATACGTATTTAGATAGTAAGGTGTGCTCGAATTTTCAGGACAGACAAAAACTGATTATAATTATTATAACAGATAATACAATATGTGGACAGTGGACTCCACCGGTAACAAATGGAGTAAATAGAAATCGGATAATGTATACAAAATACTATTCAATGTATTTAACAATGGAATTTAGATTTTATAAATACGATTTAATATATATATAATTAAACGGTATTAGTTTTCTTTTCATAACTTCTTTAAACTTTCACTGCAGTTAGCGGCACAACAAACAATCACAAAATAACAACTGTCGATAATTATATCAGGATCGCAATGCAACAAAAAACATACACATAAATAATTACTTGGAAACTGTTTTCTCCTAAGTGAAACAATCCACCAGATTCGCAGACAAATATATATATAATCCGATTAAATTCCACCGTTTACTCAATTCTGACAGCTAACAGGTCGCACGGTTAAAATATGGACCCAGGTCATTAAGTGTGAAAAATGTATGAGCTCGAAGGCGCTTCTCGATATTTGTCTAAACAAGATAAGAGCTTCTAAAGCTACGTTGTTGAGATAGAGTGCTACACAAAAACGAGCGGTCTACAAGAGAATATTTTAATTACTTGAAGATAAGAAGCTGAACAATTACCAGCATTACCGCGCCTGGTAAACTTAGCATAAAAACGCAAACACGGAACAGCTCGAGTATCGAAATCATGCATGTAACTGGTGATGTAAGTACTATTTACACACAATAAACTGTTAATTGAACACTACTGAGTGATAATAAATATAACATATTAGAAGCTATTAACAAGAAAACTCAATTCTCGCTGTATATATTAGCGAAAAAGCTTGGCAACACCTATTATGGTTTAGTACGCTCTGATAATACGGAAAGAGGATGCACGCAATAAACTAAACACAGGAAGGAAATTACATTTTTTTTTAACCACTGTGTGCATAACTCAAGTATACTAAATATAACATTAATAATAGGACTATATAAAACTGGGGATCAAATTAATTTCGTTTTGGTAATTGTTTAAAAACGTTCGATAATCCCTACAGCACAACGTTATCACATTCTCGATCAAAATGAGCCAGATGAGAATTCGGTTATTTTTAGTTTTACGTCGAGTAATGTAGGTGTCTACAGTTATGGCACGTTCAATTTAATTAAAGTAACTTTCTGCTTATGTCGTCCGGCGGATCAGCGTATTTAAAACGCTAAAATCTGGGGTTCGATTCCCCGCAGTAGCATTCCGTAATTATGCGCTAAAAAGCACAACAAGAGCTTCGTTCCTGCTTATAAGAACGACTATCATGCTCTTACTGCTAGTACAATGCACCTGTACGTTTGTCACTCAAGAAATAGACAGCTGATTTTTAAAACATGGGAGGTTTTTCTTATTAATTTGTTTGTTCACTTGAAGTGAGCCTTATGCACACAGTGGACTATATATTTGCAAAGACAAAGCGGACCAGGAGGAAGGCAACCAGACGCCAGCACCCGCCTCCCCTGAAGTGGCCTGTCCTAACCGGATAGCAGAATTTTTCTGTCGCTCTAATAATGAACTCACAGTTGAAAGTGCGAAGCGCGTCTGATGTTCCTACGTCTCGAACCCGAAACTCTCGGATGTCCAGTCCGATAAACTAACCATCACAGGCCACGGACAGACCCAATTTTTGTTATTCTTAACTTTGTTTAACGTAAACTGGAGATTATGAGACACATCTGTAAACGTAAATGCCTATATCTCCAGGATGTAACTTTATTATCTAAATATTTCACTATTACAGCTTCTTCAGGAGCTATAACTGGATTCGTGAACTTGTAAGATATCGACAGCTCCTGACGAAGTTGTAACAGCGAAATATTGAGCTAATAGTTACATTCTGGAGATACAGGTCGTGATTTTATTTACGTTTATAGATATAACCCTATTTTTGTTTTTCTCTCATGAAGATTCGCACATTTAGTTAACTGATGCTACCAATGTTAGAAATAAGTTACTTCAGTAACAGCTTTGTTTTGAACCTCAGAAAAACTGACCCCTTGTTCTTTACTCTGATAAATTAAAGAAGTACTATACAAAAATACACCCTTACAAAACCTGTTAAAGGGCTTAATTACTCGTTAATGATCAACATCAGCATTTTGTGGTTCAAGGGAAGGTTGTATAATTTATTTTTTGTTTATCTGTAGTTAAGCACAAAGCCACACAATGTTGTGCCCTCCACTGGTATCGAAACTCGGTTTTTACTTCAGCTCTTACAAAAGCATCCTTTATTTTTTTAAAACGTAAAACACTGTTGTCAGATGACTTACAAGCGTGGTTAAAATTGATAGTAAAAATACTTATATTGTGAATTTTACATCTTACTCTTGTTCCGACGGCTATGTTCTTCTTAGAGTTCAGTCTATGGTTTATTCATTCTGATTTTGTTCATTTAAACCTGTGTCAAATCAACCCATCATTTAATATAATTCACTTTATATAGCGCTAATGTTTTTGTTGTGTTTTTTTTTTTTTGTCCTTTCATTTTTATTTTTAAAATGTTGCATTTTTTTTTGTTTTTTGTTTTTTTTATTTCAGTGGAACTCTTAACTATGTACAGTATTTCTTATAAACATCCAAAGTACATATCGGCATGTTACAAATGAATTTGATACGTATATATCTTTTGTTCAGCATGGTTCTTTATCAACAGAATATCTGTTAGAGTAGTGGCCGCTACCCCCCCCC